CAGTCTGAGCGCGCGTGGCGGTTGACGGACTACTTGAACCCGGTCCTTTAAGCCGCCTCAGATCCATCTCTCGTCTGCGCTCTCTCACCTTATCAGCGGCTCATGACCATTGTGATCTCACACATTCAAACTTTTGCCACACTGTAGTTGGCTCACCCACCTCGAGTCCCTCCCTCCTACAAGGCTTAGTCCTAGGGCTCTCACCTCCTTCCTTGGGATTTGGAGCCGAGCCAGGCGCCGTTCTCTAACTGTCTGTGCCCTCCGCCATTCGTGGCAGGACCATGGAAGAAAGTTCAAGTAGTCCGTAAACCGTCATTTGGTATCTCCTATCGGTACCTTCTTTCAAACAACCACTGTAGACAACCTCATTGAAGACATACTAGGATGTGAAAAAAGTTCTGTTTGCTTTTAACCCTACACTTTATTTACGCATATCCAGAACGTTTCATTCGCAATGAAAACTATGATGAGGTACAAAGAAGAGAAAACACGTACCCAACATTCAACTTGCGACATCTTTCGTTCCAAAGCAAAACGTCGTCATATGATTGGTCACACAGCACAACAAGGGTAAAGCGGGAGACGAAGTCGGCATCCATACTATTTAGTTCGGATTCAACCACCTGAAACATTACCCTGACAAGTAATATATCGAGGAAGTACACAACGAAATGATCTACCTCCACTTTAACCATTGGATTCAGGGCTTGCACCTTCTCATACGAAGATCTCGCACGCTAGAAGCACAAATATAGGAAATACTTCTTTCCAAAACCAAAAATATTGCAAGAACCCACGTTTTGGCCGATACAACTGTCATCGAGAAGAAAACTAGATTCGGTGTCTTCTTTGCTCACAGCTTTCTCATCCATAAGTGTGAGGGAACGCAACCCACACAACATGAGGTTTTTAGCAATTTCTGCGCCCACACCAGACAACCCGCATAGGAATGCACTTGCCGCGTGCAACATGAAAAGTTCAATAATCATTACATTTTTCCATGCATCCAAAATGACCTACTTTTGCTGCGCTTCCATTCCCCATAAGCGTATCTGGCGATCATATACTTCGGCCTCAGCCTTACTCAATTGCACACCATTGTTGTCGCTGTGGGATACCATTGGTTCGACACTCGCTCCAGTTGACATCTTAAAACATTAAATCAGCAGTTTCAATAGGACACTGCACACTGACAGTGACAGGAATGAAATCTTGAAAAGGTTTCTAACCCATAACGGACGGCCAGTGTATTTTTCGCGTGCGTGTGGCGCACACCGCCGACACAGTAAGGCTTAAGTTGCACAAGATGTCATCAGCTTTGATGGCGAACAAACAGGAGTATAGGGAAACACGAAGCCGTTTAAAGCCTTATGCAGAAGGCTGCTCCTTGTCTCACCATTACACAAAAGAAGAAGAGTTGCATTGACGCAGAGTTCGTAGCCGCCTTTCCCGCTCTAAAACTATCATGCAAAAATGATGAAGTGTAGCGTGACCGTTATCAAAAATGCCGCAACCGTAACGCGAGCAAGGACATGTCGCGCATAAATATTTGAGTGAAGGAGTCTCAGCGCTATACGAAGTTATTACGACCATGATGGGTAAGCCACCCATCAAATAGTAAACTTATGTAAATTAAGACAAAATGTATGTAAAATTTATTGTAGGTTTGTCAAAAATCCAGCCGTCCAGGTCCTGGGAAGATATGTTATTCCACATTGCTGAGAGTATATATGGTATATTAAGATTGCTAGAAACATTCCAAAAACAAAAGAAATAGTCGTGCGCCACCATGTGGCGCGCACGCCGTCCGTTATGGGCTAAGAACAAGTTTGGTTTCCTCTGTCTTATGGGTGTGTGTATTGCTTTAAGCGACGCACGATTCATCCGTTACGTATGTATAACCACCGTCCAGCAGCGCAATAATCCGATCAGCTAAGAAACGGACATAAGCCGAATTTGGGGAAAAAAAAAATGGGAAGAGTCCTACAGATGATCCGAGCGCCGAACCAGCTGCAGCTAACTGAGCCTGCAGAGTCACGCCGCTGGATATCGTGGACCCCGAAGGGTTTGCCCGCACGCAGAATCAGTCAGTGGACGAAGATTTCCCACCGACGAACAAAGGGTTTCCGCGCAGGCAACGCGCGAAAAGTCGCGCTTTCATGTTCTACGTGAAAACCACTCCCACCCACCTAGTGTTTCCCCAGACCGTTCCTGTTCGTAGACCACGCGAGTTTTTCCACTCTTCGGCGACGACCTGACTCCTACAGCGCAGATCTGTATATGGCGCCGCCATCTCACTATGAAAAGCGTGAGGTCGTTCGAGGGGCCTGGTTGACCGCCTTTATCGGAGAAGAATGGTTTCTTGCAGACTGTTGGGACGCATGCATAGGAAACGTCAAAAAAAAATAGCGAAGGTTGTAGAAATAATTCGCGTCCCGCCGTAGCAAACTTTGCATTTTAGCATTGTTGGTTATCATTTGGCGAAAACATGGTCGTTATCATTAGCACTGACATTAAATTAAACTACGGTAGCCTCCACAAATGTTGAGGATGGCTCCCGGTAACGGTTAGGGTTCCTGGCAGGCCTTTTCGAACGGCAATGTGAACATGCTAACTATTCTAATCAGTCCTCAACATTCACCGAATAGGCGGCAGTCAAGATCGTTCAATCCAAGGCAAAAAATGTTTATGACAGAATTTCATCACACTCACGAATAATTGAGACAATCGTTTGAAACTTAGCACTCCGGTTACTCCCTATCTACACGTTAATCAAGAATCTAATTTAACAAATCAAGATTGGCGATCGAAACCAGCCTGATTTCAGAAAACTGAACAAATCAAGAAAACAAAGCGAATACTGTACAACGAAGAACGCAGCTCCTATACCCGGAATTGTTATTAACAGTCAAATTACTGATTTGGCATCATAAAACATCATCCAGTGAACAGAAATAATGTAAAAAAGATAAAAATTCACGCAAGAACAAGTGCATTGGCCAATGAGAGGATACGCCATTACGTTGTCCAAACGAGTGGTAATTAATAAATTCATTGAAAAAAAACCACTTATACTGTTATCACTTCTAATGGCTACCGGGAGAATGTCTGGAGAACTAGATAGAAATGGGTATGGACTCTGGACCACCATTTGCGTTCCAAATGACACATCCACAGGGAGATATTACGTATGCACACCTTGGGTAGCTGATGTGATCACGTTATACGAGCGAATATCTATATTTGCTGAAGTACCTGCCACCTTGCCAACAAGACATTATTGGAAAATGACAAATACAAAAAATGAGGACGCTTCTATCGTCAAGGAACATTTCAAATGATCAAATGTAATATAATAACAGTTGTGAGAATACCATATCCTATCAGTGCGCCTGAGCACTTGTAACGTTGCCCCATGAAGTCGGTATGATTCCATCGCGAAATCCTGTCGGAGAGCTCATGATGTTGGGTGAATTCACATCTCGTTTGACAAGGGTGTTCGGAACCTGTGATAAGTGATACATTACGTTAGGGAAGAACGGCGAACGTACATACAACATAGGAAGTGATTTCATGCTAGGAAATATGAATTGAGCAGTTTCTTTCTGAGAGAAGTGGGTACCTTTCGCAACACAAATTTCGCAATTATAATCTACATTTCGGCAAAAGTTTGCTTAGAAACCGTATGCTGGAGCTGTTTCTGACCAGATGAGTCGAAGAAAAAACAAGAACTCGAAAATTCTCCAGAGCCATTCCGTGACGCACATCGCCAAATTTTCTGTCGCGCAGGGCGACGCTTTTGAAAAAAGTTTCACGGTAGAAAACCCCTTAGATAATTCACATAAAAAAGGCAGGTTCTCCTTCCTGCTTTCACCACCTTCAGAATATGGCCTCATCTGCTCTCACCGTCAAGTTCAAGGAAGCAGCAATCACTCCAGCCTGAACTTGCTATAAATTTCTTTGATCGGTCGATTGGTGGGAAGCTTCCTAGGGCAGTAGCTTTGATTGTGAAAGACCCCATTTGACCAGCGTTTCTGATAAAATCTTCATGATTTTGATGCAATTGTTAAAAACGCCACTGCTTCAAGATCAAAAAATATCAAGTGTCGAATCAGCCAAAGAATGGTCAAAATTTTGCTTTTTATAGGGCCAAGAGGCTACACTACAGCATAAGCTTGTGCGAGACTGCGCACTTACTGCAGCAAGAATTAACAGAGACTATTACCTTTCCAGGTCTCGCCCATGTGCATATAAAGCCTTCTTGACATGCAGTGACCAAACAATCCTTACGAAATTCGAGTACAGTCAGCCGCTCATGCGCAATCTTCTTGCAAATCAGAGGCTCTAAATGAAGCAGAATAATAACAATAGAATAAGAAGGAAAATTGCAATGCAATGAACTCCTTACCAATAACAGGAACATCCTCCATTCGTGGGCATACTCGAGTTCCAAGTAGTTTCGCCTCATCAATGGCAGCAGCTGTTAGTGATGCTGGAGATTCAAGACGACGCCTTCAAACAGAAAATTCCCTAGCTTTAAAAAATCATGGATAAAATGAAAACTACTGATGTCTCCGTAACGTGCACGCAAGTCTGAACCGAAAACCTACCGATCACTACTTGATCCGCCCAATCGCCCCAAGGTGAACCCTCTTCGATGAAAACCTCTTTTCTTTTTCGGTTTTGTACTTTCAGCGGATTGTGCAGGAGATGCTTCGCAGAGGGGATCGAGGCGCCCTGACGAAGATGTCTGCAAAATGTAATACAATGACTTCCGATGAACCGATAATATAACTGATAAATCAGTCTCAACTAGCTGCGAAAGTCGCAAGGGAAAACGGCTATGTGGTACAGAGATACCAAAGACGGCATATCACCCAAAGAGGAATACCGCCACAAAACAACTGAAAAAGTGAGCACTGAAATTCAACGGAGCACTAAAAGAGCACAGCTGCAGAACAGTGTTTAGCTAATTAATACACCAAACCGAAACGTAAGGCGCCAGTTGGTTCGAAACAGGCTCTATGATAGAGTGTATGTGTCAGACGGTTGTGTTATTTGCCCATACGGTAAACCAGGAGATTGTGCGTATAGGGGAGTAATTTATCAAATTGAATGCCGGGCTTGTAACTCAACCTATATTGGAGAAACAGGAAGGGTTCTAGCCATTCGCATCAAAAGAACACCTGGCTAGCATGAGACGCGGTACTCGTTCAACAGCTCTTGGAAGGCATAAGTTCGAGAAGCACAATGGCACTGAATTCGAAATAAAGCGTAGTGTTGGCGGTGTTGGATTGGCGCATGAAATGGACATTGCTGCTAGAAAAACTTTTGAATCATTCCGGATATCCGCAAGCGAACACCCTTCGTCGACAGTGACCTTTCGCTTATGCCGCTCTGCGAGCTGTGGAATAAATCCTACGCGCGGCTCCCCAGGGTTTTTAATACCGGGAAACACTACAGTATGCATTGTTTCTTACTGATGAACGCTAGCGTGTGTGTAATACGCGCGCAAACGGTGGGTAAGTTTGATTCACGCTTGATGTTTCTCTATAGAGCTTTGACGGTCGACGGACTACTTGAACTCAGCCCTTTAAACCTCCTCTGCGCTCTCTCGCGGGTCCCTCCATC